AGATACTTAAACACTCTATTAATTGCTTGAGAATGTTGAGCACTAGGATTACTAATGTATTTGCTCAACTTTCGCACAAAAAAAGTAATGTTAGGGTTGTCATAGCATATATCAAGATACCAATAGACTTAGAGTACTCTGATTGTGAAATAGGAATGCCAGTGTCTGCCATTAATTGCACACTTGAATCCATATGAATGCTCATTGGAGAACTATCACTGAAATTAAACCGTTTAAGAATTTTCTCAACATAATGACTTTCAGTCATTACTATGCCATTGTACACCCACTTCATCCCTATACCAAGAATTACATCAGCCTCTACCAAGTATTTCATGGAAAATTTAGATGACAACAATTGCTTTGTTTCATCTATTTGATCTTAGTTAGTACCAAAAATCAACATGTCATCTACGTATATGCAGATGGTCACTCATACACTAGTGACATCATTAAATCTATTATAAACACATTTTTCACATTGTATTAACTTAAAAACAGAGGACGAAAATACCTCATCAAACTTTTGATGCCATTGTTTGGGTGCTTGTTTTAACCCATACAAAGATTTTACCAATTTACATATCATATGTTCTTTACCAGTCATAACGAAACCTTCTGTTTGTTTCATGTAAACTTCTTCATCAAGTTCACCAATTAAAAAGGTCGTTTTAACATCCATTTGATGAATAATTAGACTGTGAATACTTGCCAAGGCAATTAACAATCTAATAGTAGAAATATACACAACTAGAGCATATGTATCAAAATAGTCAACACTAAGTTTTTGTCTAAAAATCTTGAATAACCAATCGGTATTTGAACTTTTCAATAGTCCTATTAACATTCATTTTCCTTTTGAAAATCCATTTTGCAACCAAGTGGTTTTGAACCCGGAGGCAAATCAGACAACACCCAAGTGTTGTTCTCAATAATTGATGATATTTCATCATCAATTGCTTCCTCCCAAAAGACAACATATCGAGACACCATGGCCTCTTGAAAAGTATTAGGATCATCCTTAAAACTATAACAATAAGAGTATTTAAGACTAATTTCATCATTTGAACCTTCCACCAAATACAATTGGAAGTCAGAATCGAAATCTTTTTGCAATTCGAAATATTTTGCTTCTCCGAAGCTCTTGTATTTCTGGTACTACAATATCATCTAAACTTTCTGGATTTTGCACTCCGTTAGTGTCAAAAGTCAGATCCTTAGGCCTTAGCATAGATGAAAAACGTATCCCATCAAAAATTGCATGTCACGACTTGATAACGGTGTTAATCGAAATTGTGTCATTAGATTCTATTACATAGAACCTATATGTCTTGGAATGAGCATAGCCAATGAATATAAAATATATTCCAAGTTCTTTCAAAGTTTTCTTTTTGGGTAATGTAAGTTTTACCATTGTCCGACATCCCCAAACACGAAAATAGCTCAAATTCGGTTTTTCCTTGAACCAGAGTTCATATGGGACAGTTTTAAAAAAATGTTTGGATTAATTTTTATAGTAGCAAAAGTCAATAAGTTATTTTTTTTAAAAAATGTTTGGTTTAACTTATACATGTAGACAGTGGCGGATCCAATAATTTTCTCTATTGGGGGCATTTGGTCGGTCAAACTGTAAAAAATAATTGGGTCGGGTCAAACCCATTCAATTACACCCCAACTTTTTATATTTTATTTTGAGTGATATATTTGATCACATAGTGAATTGACATGAGCATCTATGTAACTGATAAAAACGTTTTAAAAAATAATTTTGACAAGGCTTTTAAATAAACATGTTCAAGACTAAACTTTATTTTTAGAATATTTAAATCATTGAAGTACATTTAATTGATTAATATCAATGCTAATATACACTCGTTTGTCTAAATGCAATAAGAATAAAAATCTATTTCCTTTCCTAATGGGCTTAATATGTATAACCAATTCACCACATGCACTTTAGCCCAAGCATAACACATTCAACCAAAGCAACCCTACGTACTTCTTCTTCATCACCTATTTTGGCTTTCCGTGGGTGGTCATAATAAAGTTGGCTAAGCTTCTATTCAACTTAAATTAGGTATTATCAAACAAAAGTTTATCTAAAGCATATTTAAGGTATTATCAAGCAAAAGTTATCCAAAGAATTGAGGGCCTTTTATGTAAGTTTTATCTTACAGTATAATTTTATTATAAGAAAACATTGGTTTAGAAAAATCCATTGGGGGCGTGTGCCCCCACTTCTAACACGTTGGATCCGCTCGTGCATGTAGAATGACCAAAAAGAAATCATAATTCCTTAAAATCTCGTTTTCAATCATGGTTGTTAAAATCACGATTCTGATTGTAGGATCGTACGATCTTACGATTCTAGACATGAAAAACGAGTCGGATCATAAACAAATCGTATTTGGGGTAGGATCGCAAGTATGATCGTAGGATCGGGATCCGATCCGATCCTACATTCCCTTGATTTTTTTAGTTTATTTATTTATTTATTTTGCAAATGAAATTCTTTTACTATTTTATGTCTTTTATCATTTACCAATTTACTGTTTATCATTTTGTGTTGTGACTTATGACTAATATTTTGATGTTTTTATAACTTTTGAACGAAAAATTGAATATTTGAAATATTTTTTATGTTTTTAAAATTATAAATTAAAACTTAAAAGTATGTTTTATTTTGTGGGATCGTAGGATCCCGATCCCGATCTTGCAAACCCAAAAATGATATTGACAACCTTATTTTCAACCTAATAATTTAGGGAAAATGAATTATAAGCCCAACGAAGTTTCCAAACCATTCAAAAAACCACAATTATGTTTTTGTCTGTTCAAGAAAACCCAACGAACTTAACCTTCTGTCTAAAAAAGCCCAACTAACTTACACTTCTCATTTAGGGTCAACCGGCTAATGAAAGTCAACGAATTGACATGGCTTATAACGTGTAATTAAATATCGGAAAATGACTTGTAAGACCAAAGAAGTTTCAAAACCGTTCAAAAAACCCCAATCATGTTTTGTTTATTGAAAAAAACCCAACGAACTTACACTTTTGTTCAATTCTCATTAGAGGAAACCAGATTCATTAGGTATAAAACTAGTTGGCAAATGACATGGCATTATATTTAATGACATGGAATAAACAAATTAGAATTGCCCTTTATATATCCATTTAGGACTTGGAGAAGAGAAAAACAAACGACGTCTGTGTTCGATCTCTTGTAATAGCTAGTTCTTCTTCTTCCTCTCAATCGTTGATGTCCAACTCAAGTTCTACAAAGAAGATATTTGATGATGCAAACTCTTGTGGATGTAGACGCCCTTCTCGGATTTGGACATCTAGAATGGAGGATCATCCAGAGATAATGTTCAGGGCTTGTTCGAACAGATGTATAAGTGTAATTGAAAGCTTTATCATGTCCATTTTAATAAGTTTTTGTTTTTGAAAGAAACCAAACAAATAGATAGAATATGGACATTATAAAGCTTTCAATTACACTTACTCATATGGTCGAACAAGCCCTGAACTTTTTTCTCTGGATGATCCTCTGTTCTAGATGTCCAAATCCAAGAAGGGCGTCCACATCCACAAGGGTTTTCATCATCTAATATCTTCTTTCTAAATCTTGAGTTGGACATCAACGATTGAGAGAAAGAATAAGAAGTAGCTATTACAAGAGATCGAACACAGACGTCGTTCGTTTTTCTCTCTCCAAGCCCTAAATCGATATATAAAGGGAAATTCTAATCTGTTTATTCCATGTCATTAAATATAACGTCATGTCATTTGCCAACTAGTTGTATATGTAATGAATCTGGTGGCCTCTAATGAGAATTGAACAAAAGCATAAGTTCGTTGGGATTTTTTCAACAAACAAAACATGATTGGGGTTTTTTAATGGTTTTGAAACTTCGTTGGTCTTACAAATCATTTTCCGATATTTAATTACACGTCATAAGCCATGTCATTCGTTGACTTTCATTAGCTGGTTGACCCTAATGAGAAGTGAACGAAAGTGTAAGTTAGTTGGTTTTTTAGACAAAATGTTAAGTTTGTTGGGTTTTCTTGAACAGACAAAACATAAATGAGTTTTTTTGAATGGTTTGAAAACTCCGTTTGGCTTATAAGTCATTTTCCCAATAATTTATAAGTTGTTTTAAGAAGTTAGAAATACCGATTTTTTTAAAATCTTATTTTTTAAAGAGATAACAAAATATTGTTATAAAAGTCCTCACATATTCAAACACTTTTTTTAATTTACCGACTTTTCATAAAAACTCAAATAAAAACCCAATAGAAAATTAGCTCAATTAAAAAAAATGTCGACGGAGATTGTTTACGATCAATTTGCACTAGAGTTCAAGTGCTATAAGGCCAAACTCAATTTCACAGACCGTGTTCAAAGCCGGTCCGACCTTCTCACCACCATAACCGCCGCCCCTCAACCACACCCCTCCCACCACAGCATAGCCACCAATTACCCCCGACCTTCTTCAGTAAACTCAACTGTTTTCGAGAAATGATTCCCGATGTCCTTACTTCACTTCAGTTCTCTATCCTCATAAGAATAATGTTACATATATGCTTCTCACCAACACTCAGTTCTTCTTCAACATCCATGTTTCTCACTGGATTCAGGGTCCGACCAATCAAATGTGGGCTCTAATCCGCAATAAGAATTGACAGAACAGGTATCATTATTTTGTGATGAGGAAGGGTAAAATTTGTGTTTTCATAATAGTTATCTTACAGATACAAACAAATGATTAATAGATCTTTGTGCGTGACTACATTATTAAATGTAAATGCATACCGCCTACTTTGACCATCTGATTATAAAATGTAAAGCATTTTGTTAATTTATCTATTTTTCCATATGAATAAAATATGGTATGTGGTTTAGAGTGAGGAGGAATCTAATAGCTTTTCCAAGCCAAACACATTAGTGCATTATATTGAGATTGAGTTCATATCTGAGTCCACATCTCGAGGACTATGTAGATGATCCCTAGTTTCTTTTCAATCTTTCATAAAAATTTCTTTAACAAAGATTTAATTCAATAGGATTTGCAAGCATACCTTCAATGGTGTCTCCTTCATCATCATCCACTCAAAAGAGCTATATCTATGATGTATTCATGAGCTTTAGAGGTGAAGACACCCGAAAGAGTTTCGTTGATCATCTTTATGTTGCTCTTGAAAGGCAAGGTATTCGCACTTTCAAGGATGATGAGAGACTTGAGAAAGGAAAAAGGATCAATGACGAGCTCTTGAAGTCCATTGAAGAGTCAAGATTCTACATCATTGTATTCTCTAAGAACTATGCATTTTCATCTTGGTGCTTGGATGAGCTTGTGAAGATCATGGAGTGCCAAACGGTGACTGATCAGATTGCTTATCCTGTGTTCTATGATGTGGATCCCTCTGAAGTCCGCAAACAACTTGGGCCTGTTGGAGATGCTTTTGCCAGACATAACAATAAAGAGGAGGTCAGGACGTGGAGAGAAGCACTGAAAGACGCAGCATGTCTAGCTGGGTGGGATTTGAGGAACACTGCTGATGGGTAATTCTTTCATCAATGTTTTTTTTGGTTTATGTACAAAAAAGGTCATCCATGGCATCTTGTGTTGTAGTGTAAAATTCCACCTCCAGTTTCACTCTGGTCAGAGATGAACAATGAAACATGGCATATGTTTGTATATTATAGTCTTAACTAATTGTTCATGTGTGGGCAAGGTGATTGACTCTCCACCTTTGTTCTACAGGCATGAAGCTAAACTCATCAACAAAATTGTTGAAGGCATTTCACTCGAATTACGTCCCATTAATTTGAAAGTCGATGACAACTTAATAGGCATGGAGAGCCGGATAAAGGATATTGTTTCATCTTTGGAAATGGGTGTTGAAGATGTTCGTATGGTAGGTATATGTGGGATTGGAGGTGGTGGAAAGACGGCTTTGGCAAGAGCAGTTTTTGACAAAATAAGCTTTCAATTTGAAGGGAAATGCTTTGTTGAGAACATCAGGGAAGTTACAAACGCATCGTTCTCTGGTTTGCAATTGTTGCAAGAAAGAGTACTTTCCAGTGTGTTAAATGATAGAATTTTCAACGTTGGGAGTATTCATGATGGGAAAAAAATAATGAAAAGGATGTTGTGTGGTAAAAAGGTTATTCTTGTTCTAGATGACGTAGACCATTTAGACCAGCTGGACGCATTAGCTGGTGGGCTTGATTGGTTTAAACCAGGAAGTAGAATCATCATTACAACAAGAGATGAGCAAGTGCTCGTAGCACAACGAGTGAAATGGATTCATGATGTGAGTCTGTTATCAAATGAAGAAGCAATGTGCCTCTTTAGTAGGTATGCATTTGGTAGATATATTCCAATTCAAACGTACAAAGAGGTATCTCTAAAAGTGGTGAAGTATGCTGATGGTCTTTCCCTTAACGATAAAAGTTTTGGGCTCATTTCTTTGCGGCAAAGATAAGCATGATTGGGAAGATGCAGTAGAAAGATTAAAAATAATTCCATTAAAAGAAACCTTGGAAAAATTGGAATTAAGTTATAGTTGTCTGGAGGATGATTACAAGGAAATATTCCTAGATGTTGCATGCTTACTGAAAGGTTGGCTAAAAGATGATGCAATTAGAGCACTTGAAAGTTGTGGATTTCATGCTAAGAATGGATTAAAAGTCCTTGAGCAAAAATCTCTCATAACTATTTCGCCTAATCAACGGTTAGGCATGCATGATCATATAGAAGAATTGGGGCAAAATATTGTTCGTCGTTCGCACCCTGATGAGCCCAAGAGGCATAGTCAATTGTGGATTCGAGAGGAGATTGAAGATGTATTGGCTAATGACTTGGTAAGGATGAAGTTTAGTAGTTTACTTACATATATGGTGGAGAAAACTAACATACTTTCATTAGTTATAACCCATGTTTCATATTTACTATTCTTGGATTGCAGGTAAACGAAGAAACAAGGGCTATAGCAACTAACGTTTCAAGCACATTTTCATGGCATGGCGAGGAGGATCTTGATTCTAAAATTCTTACAAAAGGTTTTCGAAACATGAAGAAACTTAGATTTCTTCACGTGGTTTATGAGACTGATAATTTGTTTGATGTTGGCCAAAACTTCCCAAATGCGTTAAGATTCTTGAGTTGGCGAGGTTACCCTCATTGGTGTTTACCTAAAACATTTCATGCAAATTCTTGAGTTGCCGCTAAAGGCGTCGACGCTAAAGGCCGTCGACCATAAAACCCCTCTCTGCTCCATTTCTCTGTGTTCTCCCTTCTTGCTCACCATTGTCGTCGAACTCATCGGAATTTCACAAAGAACTTCGCAATTTCACGCATCTTTGCTCCATTTTTCTCCTTTTCCTTTTCCTTTTCACTTCTCCTTACTAAATTTCTAGCATTGATGTGTATTTATATGTGTATTTTGTGTTTGTAGATATGGATGTGTATTTGTATGTATATGTGTATGTTGAATGTATTTTATGTATGTATATGTGTTTTTGTATGTACAATCCTATGTATATATGTATTTTTATGTATATGTATGTGTATTATGTATGTGTATGTATTTTCGTATGTATATGTGTATTATGTATGTGTATGTATTTTCGTATGTATATTTGAATTTTGTATGTGTATTATGTATGTATATGTGTATTTGTATGAATAGAAATACATATTAATAGCAGTGACGCATTTAGTGGCGACAGAGAGAATTAGCGGCGACGCAACTTTAGCGGCGACGAATGGAGCATTAGCGGCGACCAATGGAGCATCAGCGACGAGCCAACAGCAACGACCCTTTAGCGGCGACATGTCGCCGCTAATACCTTTAGCGGCGACATGTTGGACCTTTAGCGGCGACGTCTGTCGCCGGTCGCCGGTAATACTCTTATTTCTTGTAGTGCAAGAACATTTTTTATTTCTAGAATATCGTGAACAAAAATTCATCCTTTAATTTTACAAGGTGATAGTTTTGTAAATAAATGAACATTTGGATGCAAAGCTCAAAAATTAAAAAACACACTGGGGTAATTTTGTAAAATGTAACAAAACTTTTCAATCGTCACATAATCCCTTGTTCCCTCTCATTTCTCTTAATCCTCGTTCCTGATAAACTTCTATCTACCATTTCTCAACCGAAAACCCTCAAATCGAAGAAAAAAACCCTAAAACTTTGTCGAGGGTTGTTGAATCGAACAACAAAAACTTGATAAAATAAAAAATATCTTTAATGACGGATTTCGCGAGAACAACTACTTCAAAGCAAAGTAAAAAATGATTCATTATGTAATTTTTTAACTTACAACAATCGTAATTGAACTTTATACTTGTATTTGACATTTGGTTATCTGTTTTCGAAATCGAAACAGTTATCTGCTCATTTTTAATTGTGATCGAGGGTTGTCATCGAGGTTTTTTATATATTTATATTTTAGTTTTCATTTACAAGTGTTATCTATTGATCATTTGTGATTATCTACCAACTGTTTGACCTAATAAAGTTGAATAATAGTAGATTTTAATTATTATCTAGAGTTTTTTAATTGTTTTGCTCTATTTTTCATTAATGACTATTTATTTTGTTTATCTATTGAGTATGACGTTAATAATCTCGCTTTATACATACGGAGAAAACAAGAACATTCGAAAAAGTATACAAAAAAATGAGAACAAAACAGGCGATGAAGGCAATAAATATGTTTAATACTTCATTTGATAATATTTTGTTATAAATCATATATGATTAACATTGTGTTATAATAATACATTTGATGATCTTTAATCATATATGATTTTTTTATGCTTAATCATATATGATTTTCTAATAATGCTTGTTCTAATAATATATAATAAAAATCATATATGATTTACATTCTGTGATTAGCATCTTTTATTAACAATAAATTCTTCTTTATAATGATTGTGTTTAATAATATATGATTTTATGATAATATTTATTTTAGTAATACGTGATAAAACTCATATTATGGGTTAATCACATGTGATTATCATATTATATATATCAAAACAATTTAATCGCATGTGATTTCCATCTATTATGAATAATCATATATGCGTCACACCCCTAGTCGGCAGTGGATACGTCGGGGTAAACAACATAATCTTTGGATCATAGTTAACACATATATCGAACAATACAACACTTGTAACAACATTACACTAATTTTCGAAAGTGGTTACATTGTTGGAAATTCAAAAGTACAACAAAAGAGATACAAGTTCAGCACAACAAAACATAAAGCGACAAAAGTGCCTGAACAGATAGGCAACAGTAAAAGCATAGGGCAGAAATGGATAGTAGATCATCCTTATTTAAACGATGTGTGAACTCTGATGTGTAGGTTCCTGAGAATACATGTGTTTTAAAATACGTCAAAAAAAATTGTTAGCGAATCCATAGGTTTTGACTCAGTGTGTTTCGATAATCAAAGTGTATTTTATAAATATTACCAATTATCAAATTATATGAAAAGCGTACTTTTTCTATGACCAAAAAGTACAAAGACGAAAAGTATAAGTACTTATCTTACTTATGTGCATGTGAGCGTGTTTTTATCGTCGTACAAGTGTATATGTATTGTTTATGTCGTGTAACTTATTAAGTTTAAGTTTTTAAACAATAATAGTGCGTGTCGTATATTATTAAGTATTTTTCGTACTTAGATAATATGTTGATACTCACAAATCATCGTGCGTGCATTCAACCTACATACAGTCCTATTTCAACTCATATGAGAAATCTGCAACGTATAAATCCTATTTTAGTTCTATACGTGTATCCTAGCAATGTATAAATCCTATTTCAATGTTATACATGTGCTTTTTAGAGTGTACTTCGGGGCTCCCCGAGTCTGTAACCAAGCTAAATGACTTGAATCTGCCTCTATAAAGCACTACAAATGTGTTGGGTTGTGAGCAAAACATCAATCCTATGGTGCACATGCAAACCCTAAAGCTTTGGATCTAGGTTTTTCTAATTGTACATGCAATAATCATCCAAGGCTTATAAACCCTAATACTAGCATACAAAATTCGAAATCAATATCTAATAAACAAGTTAGAATGATACATTTGATTGTAGCTTGATGATCTTGAACCTTTGAGAACCTAGCACCTCAAATGTGATGCCTCTAATGGATCACAAACACCAAAAGCAATTGGAGAATCTTAGAGAGAGAGAGAGAGAGAGGGAGGAGGCTCAAAATCGGCTAGCGATCCTTCTTAGGGTTCAAGTGTCCGATTTTGGTTACCCCAAGGCTTCCTTATATAGCTGAGCAGTTAGGGTTTCAGTCAAAACCCTAATCCAGTTGCTTAGTCCTTAAGCAGCCCAAAGGATCTTTCCAGAAGGCCCCTTGGACGATTTCTATGTGGACTCCCACATAGAATTCGTCCATTGCTTCCTTATGGATCCTAAGCCCAACCTTGTAACTATCTTATAATTACAGTATCAGTCCCCTTGATTTAATTAATCTCTTTTGACCACAAAATTAATTCTAAATTAATTATTGATCAATATTAATTAAACAATCTGATTTCTCCTTTAATATATTATTCATATAATATATTAATAAACCATAATAACCTCTTTCTCCATTATTCGTCCAGTCAAGTTGCTTTTGTGAAGGCAACCCAAAAGGACCATGCTACAACCTGGTCAAATACATACCAAATATAGTTATGGGCTTAGACACCTAATCCATCAAATTGGCCATGCGAGAGTCTCACCAACACTTCATCAACATCGTGAATAAGATAAAGAATAAGAAGTTATCGCTCGTTTTGACTCGTCAGACAGAGGTTGTAGCTAGCGACCACAAGCGGGGGTGTCAGCCTATATAGATCTATACATAACGTTCTTCGCTCACATGGATTAATGATTATCACAAAGGGCGTTACTAATTTTGTGTTCTTAGTTGATAATGTGACAACCCGATACTTTCTAGTCAAAAAAAGTCAATTTTCGTTAAATAAAATTTCAAATTTTATTTGTTCCGTTAAGTTCTTGTGGGTTAGGAAATAATCTAAAATATATAATTAGAGGTTATATAAGTTTCCGGGGCCAAAAACGCTCGAAAAATCAAGTTTTCCCTCGAAAAATTAGCAAACTCGTCCAGCCACGCGTTTACAACCGTAAACCCCTTGGGCCGTAAACCCCTGGGTCGTAAACGCATTTACAACCATAAACCCTTGGGTCGTAAACCCGTTTACAACCGAGAACCCATTCCCGACCGTAAACCCAACCAGTATAAAGGTTTTTCGCGGAGAGATTTTTCATTTCTCACCTTTTTCACCCGAAAACTCTCTCAAGTTGCTCCCAAGAACATTCATATCCTCAAGAACAAACCTTCAAATCTTCATATTTTCACCAAGAACATCCTTCATATCTTCAAAGGCCGTAAACCCGTTTACAACTGCAAACCCTTTTACAACCGCAAACCCATTTACAACCGCAACCCAGTTCACGGCCACAAACCCTCTTTTTTCCACTTCAAACAAGTCTCGGTAATTTAAATACAATTATGTGTTTAATTATCATTAGGATACCGTTAATTCTGCGTACTCCAACTCGAGGGTAATCTTTCCGGTTTTGCTGTCGAGCACGTGCACATAATCACCTGTGAGTTCATACCCCTACACTTTTACTATTTTTAACGTTTTCACGGGGAATACAAGCAAAACACAAAGAAATTTTGTGTTCTTATATAAAGGATTTCAACAGAATTAAAACTTATGAAATTGATACAACCAAGAGATCACTACATTTTATAAAATATTTAGATATTTTATGCCTTTTGTAACATGCTGAGCATAAGGGAAGTTTTCAACATATAACCATAATTGAATAGTTTTCAGTACAATACGTGAATCGAATACATAACATACATGCAAACTATAATAGGTATAGTTTGGGATTCAACACACGATTTTATCAATTCCAGAGCTTATACATTAACAAACATATAAATTATGATAGATATAGTTTATGGCATACAATACTATTTTCTGAACACAAGAGTACAATACTAAATAATTATTTAAGTGTAATTAATTTTACTCTACAATTATACATACAGTTTCAAGTACAAGAGAACACTACAACACTACACGTAAACTAGTTAATACAGGGTTGTGAGGCACTACTTCGATTGTACCCTTCGGGGTACAGAACTAAATCCTACCACAGTATAACCAGAGTCTCCTGGAGGGAGAGCGTGAGATTTGTGAATAGTTCTATTCGGGACTGACAATCCCACAACTAAACTGCTAGCTACAGTTAGGCAGGCACGCCTGGGGTGACAAATATCATACCATTCCGACACCTGAAGAACGTCGTAGAGGTCACCAGTTCATATCAAGCATGGTTATACCAAACCCACACC